CAAGCTTCACAGAAAAACACTCACAAGATCAGCAAAACACATGTTCAAGTTCATCAATAATAAAATGTGCAATGCCATGAGATGCAATGTCAAATATCGTGATGCATGTCTTTCTTAACGATACACACCTGTTGTCTCTCAGTCCGGAACCCATGGGGGATATATCTATCCATGCATCTGTCGCGGCGCACGACACGACCCTCGATAATAGTAAACATCGCGGCGCACGATACGACCCTCAAAATGATACATCCTTATATCACAATTATGTCTCAGATACAATACAATTGACATGCTCAAATGAGAATGAGGAGATAACCGTTTTGATGACAAAGCACGATTTACAACCAGGAATACAACACCAACAAATAAGCAACAAGTCTCCAAGTCATTCTCAACACCACACAAAGAAATACATGAATTTCATACGCTTAACAAGGGTTTAGAAATCCACTTGCCTCAATTTATCGAACAATCACTTCGGGACTTTAGCTTTCCTTTTTTGTTGAACTTCTAACTCAATGCGATCTATTCAAATAAATGACCACAATAAGATCCCAACTAACAATACTCATAGTACTATATGTTCAACTTTGATATTTCTCAAATTTAAGCCTAGGTTTAAGTTATAATATCTTCAAACACTACAACTCTAATAACTTTAGTATAATATTATACCCCCGTTAATTAATTACATATCTCAATATATATAAAATTTGAATAATGATATAATATTGTACAATATAAATTCAACCACGAATGATAAACCTGCAACTAACTTTTATCAAGAACTGCAACTATAGATATTATGCAGAAGTGCAAACCTATGTAATTAATATCCCACCCATCATGCTCTTCCTATCATTGCCCTATAATCATAGAATAATTACCCAATTACCAACCATAGAATATATGTCCAACTTTTTAATTACATGTACAGTAACAAAAAATAAATGAATTGCCAAATCTATATTAGTTCATCGATTGAATATAAGTATTTTATTATTTTTCCCACTTATTTTTGTCCCCTTAAGACTCAATTTGAAAAGAACACACCATTAAATGTTCACTATATTTTCCTAGAAATTACGTACAGAACAAAAATTATAAAAGCATAGTGAAATTACTTACCAGAAGTTAAAAGCACTCACTGCTCATTTCGCTTAGGGTTTCTCCCAGTTCTCTTTATTTTATCTTCTATTTTTTTAAAAAAATTGATTAATTAAAAGTGATAGGTTTTACCCACATATTTTAGTAAATATAGTCTAAAGGGTATAGGGTCTTAAATAAATTATCACTTTAGCCCATAAACTCTCGATTAATTAACTTAAGTTAAATAAATATTCAAAATTCTAAAGATGAGCTTTTAGGTCATTACAAATAAGAAAATTATATTTTACAAAATTACCAGAACCTTTTAGTTCAAAAATAATAAAAAGTTGGAATGAAGCAGAATTAACAGATACTTTAGGAGTTAGAATGAAATTCTTACAACGATGGTTTACAGAACTATGTGAAAAAAAAATAAAGAAGTTGTAAAAATTGAAAAAGTATTAGAAAAAAACTTAGCATGTTACAAAAATAAAATAGCACCTCAATTTGGTTGCAAATAGATATTATAAAAGGAAGAATAATAGAAATAAAAATTATAAAAAAATATATCAACATATAAATATAAAAAACCAAGAAAGAGATATTATGTAAATAATTACAAAACTAAAAGACCATTTAGACCAAAAAGAAAATTGACGGAATGTACTTTCTAAAATTGTGGAAAATTAGGATATATAGCTAAAGATTGTAAATTACCTAAAGATCCAAAGAGGAAACACATATCAGAAATAATTATGGAAAATGAACAATATACACAAATAGAATATGTCGATTATGATTTAGAAAGTGAAGCTAGTATGTATGAAATATCAGAAAATGAAATAGATAATGACATAGAATTAGAATCAGATAATGAATTTTATAATATAAATGACTGAAGCAGATATACAAATAATAAATAAAGAAGAATGTCAAGATGAAGAAACATTAGAACAAAAATTAATTTTTGATAATAGTATATTTGAACAAATAAAAGGAAAAGAATTAGATCTAAGTGTAGAAAAAATATTAGAAGTACCAAAAATAAAAAATTGATTTAAAAGACAAAAAGAAGAATATTATGTAGTAAGCCAAAGAGAACATATCATAGTCTGTAAGTATACCAAAGGAAAAGCTAAAATACCGATAATAAATAAGAGAATATTTAATAAAGAAATACAAGAAATAAATGCAAAAAACCAATTAAATATGTACATTTAGGAGGAACTGAAATATTAATAAAAGCATGTTATAGATAAGGAATAGATACACCTATAGATATATATTTAGCGGATGATAGAATAATACAACCTATAGAAAAAAGTATAATAAGTGTAGTAAAAGATAATTTAATATACCAAAAATTTAAACTTATAATAAGTGTTAATTACTCGGTAGAAATTAATGACAGAAATATAGATAAATCATTAGTATTATATTGGAAAATGTATGGAATAGACTAGCACCTGCAAGTAAAATATTTACAGTCAGATGTAAGAATTTATATGTTTTAACAACAAAAAATAAAATAAAAAAATAAAAATAGAAAACCCATTTGAAAAAATAGTTACGGTTATAGATAATAATGACTATAGTTATAATGAAATTGATATAGAAGAAGATTTAGAGATAGTACAAGAAAGACTAAGCACATCAAAAAGAATAAATAATAATGATATACCACAAACATCATCAAAAAATGAGTACTTCAAATAGTTCCAAAAGAATAAATATAATTTCACAAAAATTAGTAGAAGAAAAAATAAAACCATATCATTATTATATAACAGGAATAACGGAGCAAAGAAAATATTTAATACTAATAAATACAGGACAAGAAGAAAGCTATATTACAAGAGAGTTAGTAATGGAAGATAAAATAATAACTACGGAACACTCATGTTCAGAATTACAAAAAGTATTAATAAATATTGAAGAAACAACGGAACAAGAAATAATAATTGGAGGTATACCAATGATAATAAAATTTAAAATATATCAAGGAAATGAAAATATAACATTAGAAATAAAATGACTAGAACAAGTAAAACCATATAATATAGAGGATAAACAACTAACGAAAAATTATCAAAATAAAAAAGTCATAATAAAAAGGACTTTAATATAAAAAATATATGACAATATATATACTCGTGAAGATAATAATAGAAGGATATTATAACAGATATTATACACCAATGATAGATACAGGAGCAGAGGTTACTATATGTAAATACAATTGTTAACCAGAAGAAAAATGAGAAAAGTTAAAAACACCAATAATAGTAACAGGATTTAATAATGAAGGAAGTATGATCACATACAAGGCAAAAAATTTAAAAATACAAATATGGGAAATAATATTAATTGTAGACGAAATATATAATTTTGAATTAACAACAAAGGATATGTTATTAGGAATGCCATTTTTAGAAAAATTATATCCACATACAATAACAAAAACACACTAGTGGTTAACAACACCATGTAAACAAAAGATAGGAGCAAGAAGAGTAGGTAACAAAAGAAGAAAAACAACATGATGGATTAAAGGCAGTGAAAAAATTACACAAAAAATAGAAAATATAAAAGAAGAAGACCCTAGAATAGAATTAATTATATTTTTCTTAGATAAAGTAAATATAATCCAAGAAAAATTAGAATTATTATATAGCGAAGATCCTTTACAAGGATGGAAAATAACATAAAACAGAAGTTAAAATTGAACTGATTGATGAAAATAGTATAATAACACAAAAATTATTAAAATATAACTTTAATGATTTAAATGAATTTAAAATACATATAAGTGAATTACTAAAAATGGATATATAAAAGAAAGTAATAGTAAACATACAAGTCCGAAATTTATTGTTAATAAATATAATGAACAAAAAAGAGGAAAAAGTAGAATGGTAATTGATTATAGAAATTTAAATGCAAAAACTAAAACATATAATTATCCAATACCAAATAAAATATTAAAGATAAGACAAATACAAGGAAGTAATTACTTTAGTAAATATGATTGTAAATCTGGATTTTATCATTTAAAGTTAGAAGAAGAATCTAACAAACTTACAACATTCACAGTACCACAAGGATTTTATGAATGGGATGCATTACTATTTGGATATAAAAATGCACCAAGTAGATTTCAACATTTTATGGATAACTATTTTAAACAACTAGAAAATTGTGTAGTATATATTGATGATATATTATTATATTCTAAAACACAAGATTAACACATAACATTATTATAAAAATTTATAAGTATAATACAACACTCAGGAATAAGTTTAAGTAAAAAGAAAGCAGAAATAATGAAAAAACAAATAGAATTCCTAGGAATACAAATAGATAAAAATGGAATAAAAATGCAAACGCATATAGTACAAAAAATAATAACCTAGAATGAATAATTAGATAGAAAAAAGAAATTATAATCCTTTTTAGGATTAGTTAACCAAGTAAGAGAATATATACCGAAATTAGCAGAAAATTTAAAACCATTACAATAAAACTAAAGAAAGATGTAGAATATCATTTTGATAATAGAGATCAAACACAAATACAAAAGATAAAATTATTATGTAAAACATTACCAAAATTATATTTTTGGATGAAGATAAAAAAATTATTTATATAGTAGAAACTGATGCAAGTGATAAAAGTTATGGAGGAGTATTAAAATATAAATATAATGATAATAATATAGAATATCATTGTAGATATTATTCACGCACATATACAAATACGGAAATAAAATGGAAAATAAATAGGAAAGAATTATTTTCAGTATATAAATGTTTATTAGCATTTGAGTCATATGTTGTATATAACAAATTTATTGTAAGAACAGATAATACTCAAGTAAAATGATGGTTAACCAGAAAAATACAAGATTCAGTAACAACGAAAGAAATTAAAAGATTGGTATTAAATATATTAAACTTTACATTTATAATTGAAGTGATAAAGACTAATAAGAATGGTGTTGCAGACTACTTATCAAGACAAAGCTACTCAGACTGAGAACAAAGACGAAGATACAATTGAAAAGCTACTCAAAGCCATTACTACACTTTGTACTAAAGTGGATAGTACGGACAATGAGATACAAAAGGTAAAGACCAATGAAGATAACCTGAAGTCTAAAGCTAATATAAGTCAGCAGCATGACTATAAAAATGCGAAGCTACGTCGATCGGAAGACAGTAAAAATCCTGAGATAAAAGGAGACGATGGAAAACTCCCTAAAACCCATAATGTTTGTTTAAATACAACTGCAGGTACAAGCAGAAAAGTTAGTGAAAAACCACGAAATACAAATTTAAACCAGTTATTTGCAAAACCATTTATTCAAAATACACCAAAACAAATACCCATAGAACCACAAACTTCTACCTATGCAGTGAGTATACAAAACCAGAGTGAAAAGAAAAGATACAATTATATTACACAAACCTACATTGAAAATATATATAGAATCAGAACTTATTTAAATTTCAACCCCAGATCTAACCAAACCAAAGATCCAAGTCAAGACTATATAACTCAAAAATAACGAGGATACAATAGACTTATAGCACAATCAAAGATTAGTGCTAATCTAGTTAAGACATGTTACAGTTATGGATTACTAAGTACATTATATACATTTGATGGAGAAGAAATCAGTGGAATACCAGAGTTATACAAACGTTTTATTACATATAAAAGAGTTACAATAGGAAACTTATTTTATATTAAGTTTTATACAGCACCAGCAGAAATATTATATGAGGAGGTAAAATCTCCAATTCAAGTTATTAAGATAGGATTAACAAAAGATAAGATCATACCAGAAGATGTTGGACATCAAAATGAAATATCAAAGATAGAAATACCATGTTTTTATGCCAATAAAAGAATAATTGGTACATCAACTATCATACAAGAGTTAGCAACTAATTCTATAAATGGAAATGCCATATGGAGCTATTAAGCTAGAGATCAAGTTATGATATATTCAAACTCAAGGGAATTAAGAATAGCAGATATGGATGAAGTTTAGCGATGGATTTTATCAATACTAGAGCCAGAGAAACAACCTACAACACGAGCATTAAAGAAAGAATTTATTTGAGAAAACTTATTAATGAGATATTTTAAACTTATTGGACATAAATACCCAGATCATAGATTTTCCAAATGCAATGGAGAAGATAACGTTATACCAGATATTGATTTGGAATAAAGATGAAGAGATAAGAATGTAAAATAAGATAAAGGATGAAGAAAAAGAGTTATAGTAGACAAACAAAAATGACGACAAAGACAAAATAAGAAAAAGACATAAAGATAGATATAAACAAAAAAGGTGACAGACAAAGGGATAGATATCTTTGAAAAATGTAAAAATAAAAGATAAGATTCCTTTGTATAGTAAATTGCTTTTACTTTTTTGAAAGGCCAATGTGTATAGCTGGCCATTTGTAAAGTTTTGTTTTAAAAGTCATAAAGTATACAGTAGGCGCACTTATGTGCAGGTTTAGAATTTAATATAGGGAAAATGCACAAGTACCCCCTCAACCTATGCCCGAAATCACAGAGACACACTTATACTATACTAAGGTCCTATTACCCCCCTGACCTTATTTTATAAGTAATTTTCTACCCCTTTTTAGCTTACGTGGCACTAGTTTGAAAAAAAAGTCAACCATCGTTGGGCCCACAAGATAGTGCCACGTAGGCTAAAAAGGGGTTAAAAATTATTAATAAAATAAGTTCAGGGGGGTAATAGGACCTTTGTATAGTACAAGTGTGTCTCTGAGATTTCGGGCATACGTTGAAGGGGTACTTGGGCATTATCCCTTTAATATATATATATATATATATATATATATATATATATATATATATATATATATATATATATATATATATATATATAGATTGCCAAATTGTAAATGAAAGGCAGGCTGCCAAACAAAAACATAAGTTAATAAAAACCCTTTCAAAAACCTCTCTCAACAAAAGATATAAACTAAGTTAAAAATGGAGAAATTCGAAATCAAGTCAGATATATTAGATAGCATGGAAAATCAAGAGAGAAAGGTATATTGTTTAACAATTATGCAGAACTAATTTCATATATTCCTGAATATTATATATATGATTGATTAACTTTATGTTAGTTATTATATACTAGAAATATTTGAATCATGAATTCTAGTTTGCTAGTAAACGGTAAACAAGGAGAAAACTGCTAGACTATGTTATCCCACAATAGAAACCGGTAGGCGAGGGATGCCGTTAGGGGAGTACACAGGGTTGAGGCGCTGATAAGCAGTAATTATCCGCTAAAGTACGATCTAGTAGTGACCGGAAAACATGATAATGATACTCTAGCTTATAATAGACTAATATGAATTTAATTGAATTATGATATGATAGGAAGAAATAATTGAAAGCAAACCTGCATAAATAAATAAACATGATTATAATGTATGATGAAATAAAAAGCTATTAAACTTTGATCTTATATATACTTAAAGATATAGAAATTGTTGACATAAAAAGAATTATATGGGAAAAAATATTTGATCATGATGTAGAAGATATATTGAATCAAGAATGGTATGAAATAGATTTACAAAAATTAGATATAGAAAGAATAGATATATAGGATTTAGAAACAGATTCAGATTACAATGAACTATGACTATTTAGAATATTGGATAGAAATTATGAAAAATATAAGATTATTAAAACAATTAATGCAAGAAAATTTATACATGTACCAAAGAACCCAAGATATGTTATACATAGAATATATAACAAATAATACTAAAGAAATATTTAGATTAGAACAATTATCAAAAGAACTTTATGATAGAATATATTTTACTCTACTGAAATATGTATCTTACTCTATGATGAATTCCGCACCCCTCAACATTGAAGAGAAGTTTATGATAAAATATATTTTACTCTATGAAATATGTATCTTACTCTATAATGAATTCCGCACCCCCCAACATTGGTAAAATTATATTTTACAAAATTATCAGAACCTTTTATTCAAAAATAATAAAAAGTTAGTATGAAATAGAATTAACAGATATTTTAGGAGTTATAATGAAATTCTTACAACGATGATTTACAGAACTATGTGAAAAACATAAAGATGTAAAAATGGAAAAAGTATTGATAAAAAACTTAGCATGTTGCAAAAATAAAATAGCACCTCAATTTGGTTGCACAGCTTTTAGCTGAATTTTCCTATACCCATGTTGTATGCACCAGTTCAGCCCAGGAGTTGAATCTAAAATCTCCACCTGTTTATTAGTTCCTAGGACGAGAGGAATAGAGAATCATAGTTAATGTAAAACATCTGGCTGCTTTACTTCTACTGTGATTTCTACTTTTTTAAATATATAAAATCTGACGGATTCGTCCTTTATTCGATTTCTGTGGATTACATTCTGCTGATTGTGAAGTTGTCGCGCGCTGCACTTTTTCCCCTTTGGTTTGATATGTGGGCTCTAATTGGAGTTTATTTTTCGGCCTACACTTGATTGTTCAATATTATTTTGTTTGCGTACACACAATTGTGCAAATTTTTTTTTGTTCTTGCTCTCAGCAAACTTAACAAAGTTTTGGCTGTTTTGCGAGTAGGAGTTAAGGTTCTTCTACTTAGTAGTTACGTGTATAGCATGGAGCTGATAGAATTAAGAAGTTGAACTTACACTTCACTCAGTCCATTTTCCCCTCCATTAGAACACACCAGCAACTACAATACCAAAATTTGATTTCATGAATATAATGCTCTATTCCTATCAAATACTATCTCTTTTAGGAATGCAATATACATCCGTTCACATTGAATTGGATGAATATCACAATCCTTATCACTATCAAATACTATCTCTTTTCGTGAATGCGATACACACCCTTGGACATTGAGTTGATTTCACTCTAAAAATAAATACCTTGTACAGTGACAATTGTAGTTCTTTACCAATTTAAAAATAGATGCACAGATTGAACCAGCAGAGCTAATGAGTTCTATAGAAAACAATTATGACTCCCTCTCAACAAAAAGTTCTCCTGAGATGAAGCATTGACGAAGTTAAATGGATAGATTGGTTTCTGCAGAAAAAAAGAGAGGCACAATTACTACAACGTCGAACAAACCGTCAGGAGCTAAAAAGAAATGCTATATATGCAACAACAGCTTTTCATGTGCAAGATCATCCTGCTGCAATTATAGATTGCTGTTGCTCCACCTCGCAGAATCCTCATCAAATTTATATTTGGGTCAGATTTAGTTGCACATTTTTTTGTCGCAAAAGTTTAGAAAGAATTGTTATTCAATTAACTGATGTAGTACATAGGACAATAAAATGAATCTTTTCATTGTGTGTACGTTTTAGTATTTATTGTCAGCCAGAGATAGCATTCAGTAATTATGCACTTTGCTCTACACTTTTTGACCTGTGCGGCACTTAACAACGTTTAGCTTGAATTCTTCTGTCTTACTTATGCTTTTTCCGTCTTCACTTTTCTTGTCGGTCAGGATTTCTCATCTTAATTCCAAGGAGTTATTAATTGATGAAAACATTTACCAAAAGAATGAGAAAAAGGATATTTCCAACTTCTGTCTTTAACATAAAGAAACAAGTAATAATATAAGGAAATTCTTAAGTACATGTTTATTTATCAATTCAGACACAAATTGCCAATCCATTCCTGCCAAATTGGTAGGGAACATTAAAACAAAGCAGGTGCAGAACATGTTCTAGATTATGATCTTCACCCTGGGCAATTCATGGGTTATTTCGACATTCGAGTGGACCACGTACACTTTCCGGTAATCTATTAAGTGTGTCAGAAACATTAAGAACCGCAAATTTACTTCGCTGATTGGCAGTTTGTGTTCTTTGTACATGCTAGGTTGTTACCAGCGATTACCTTGCTAGCAAGAAGATTAGTTCCAATGATCTGGTGGTTGTCTCTCCTGATATTGGGGGAGTTGCTAGAGCATGCACTTCTGCAAAAAAAAGATGGATGCCCCTTTAGAATTGTTGACAAAAGACGCCAGGAGCACAATCATGCTGAGGTAGTTTCAGAGATAAATTTTTTGATTTCACACTTGATACAGTTTTATCTCCTATTGACTTTTATTCATAAAGACGTCAAGTAGATGAAATGATACTTGTTAATCCATTGAGATAATATTTCTGTCTTGTGTATATCCTTGTGTCGATCTAACGTGGGCTCTTTTATTTCCTCATTATATTGATAGTCATCTCATGTTTGCGCATGTGGTGTACCATCTCCCAAATTATTATTTGCATTTTATCACTTTAACCTTCATG